TTAAATTATAATAAAAAATTTGATTTAAATAAATTACACAGAAAATGAGAAATTTTAAATAGTTAATTTAATATTAATATCGATACATTTTTTTTTCAAATTTATATTTCATTCAAAATAAAAATATTATCGTTTTCTAAAACCACGTAAAACCGTATTATATCGGTAGAGAAAATGAATAAAATAAAACATTAAATCGAAATATATCTCGTTGCATTGCACGAGTACCCTTCTAGTATATAAATGTTCAAACGAGAATGTTGTCTGTTTAAGAAAACAAGAAAAAAAAATCGTTAATGTACAAAATCACATCTGATTTTATATTAACGTCAAAAAATGGAAGCGAACGACTTTTAAACCTGTATGGTTTTGTACGTGAATATATGCATGTGTGCATGTGAATCGTATATGATTTTGTACATTAACAACTTTTTTCTTGTTTTCTTAAATAGTTAATGTTTTCGTTTGAATCTGACTATATATATATATATATATATATATATATATATTAATTTATATTCTAAACTATATGCTAATAAATGTTTTTGAAATATAAAAATGGATAAATAAAAAGTTAAAGATGACAAGTTGACAATATCGAAGAGAACATAAAAGTAGAGTTAAGGAGCAACTTCCATGAAGGTCAAGCTCCACTTGAGCGTAAAGAAAAATGGAACCCTTTGTTTTCTTGGTAAAGGGACATTAATAATTTTTTATTTTTATAATTTAGAAAAATATATACATTGTATTCATACGAAGACGTAGCGTGTCGTATGTGCATCCGTCTAATGTAAGAGAGACGTATGATTTTACTGTAAACTAAAAATGAAAAACTAACGTAATTTATCATTAAAAATCTAAAAGTTATATAAGGGGCCGTTTACCTAAACATTTACCCGGTAATCACTTATCGGTAAAAGTCAACATTATCGCTTGCTTACTGGGTAAGATTTTATTCACTAAAACTCATCGTATCCAACAATTCATCCCGTTAAGCGCTAACCATGGTAAGAGTCGTCATCCTTACTTACCAGGTAAGACTCTCGATTCTTGTCTTCGTTCTTACCGGGTAAGATTCTTAGTCTTTGCCATGTCATCCGGTAAAGTAAAGTGACTTGGTAAGTGTTTACTCGGGTAAACGTTTGGTAAATGGCACCTAAGTATTTCATCATATTAACAAGGTTCAAAAAACTTTATCATAAAGTTCGACTATTGTCGTGTCGGCTATTACCTTTGTTGTGGTGTTTATCAATAACGTGAGAGTAGTGATCAAAAGCAGGAAAATATAGTGAAATCATGCAACTAAAACATGTTTATTTTTGTTTTAAATCGAGTCAATATCTGTTGATTTCAACCATTACTGCATTATGATGGTAATTTAATGAAATATCCAAAAGGAGGTCGATTGAGGTGTGTCAAGTCAACAAAACTGTGATAAACGAATAATCTTCTGTTTATGGTAATTTTGTCAAGAAAAATCGTATAATCAAGATTGATTCAGGTGTGGTTTGGTGGTTATAACACGTTTTGTCCCTAAAGTTTCAAAATTACAAAGTTGCCATTGTGTTATGCAAAAATGACTGGATTTTATCCCTGCCTTTAACGACTGTTTAAAGAACCATTAAGTTAGGGGTATTTTAGACTTTTCAAGTTTTTTATTATTTTTATTTCAAAATATAATTAACTACAACAATCTCATCAGACACCGGTTATCTTCTCAGGCTAAGTACACCTCAAAATCAAAATCAGTTCCAACTCCAAATCTCAAAATCAAATCAAAATTTAAACCAAAATAAAAAACTAACTGAACAACCAAGATAAAAACCATTCATATTTGAAACAAACCTTACACGTCTGAACAAAACCCTAAACTTCATGTGCTAACAACAACTGAGGAGTTTGATTTACATAGAGAGATCGATGGTAGGATGGTTGCAAACGAACTTTTGGGTCGCTCGAGTTACAGAAGATACAGATGGAGGTCACACATCCACACATACAACCATCGAAGGCAGTATTCAACAAGTCTCTGCAGGAGCCGATTTCAATACGTGGTAGGTTTAGGGGGATGGATTTCAGTATGTAGACTAGGAGAGACGTTGGGAAAGGGGAGAAGGGATATGAAGAAACAAAAGGAAAATGAAGAGAATGGATTTCGAGATGGTTGTCGGTGTGTGATTTTGAGTTTGAGATGGTCGCTAGTTTAGGGGGAGGGGGATTGTCTGAGGGGATGCGTTGGAGAAAGGGATCGGGAAAGAGGTATATTAATCAAGTTACCATATTTATTACATATTTATTTTTTTAAAGGAAAATGTGATTAAAAATAGAAAAAGACCAAACTACCCTTCACTTAGCTAGTTCTTCTGATGCCCTTAGAGGGAGAGATTATATCCGATCGTTTCTGTATACCACAATGGTAAATTTGTAATTTAACATTATAGGGACTAAAAGTGTTATAACAACCAAACCACAAGGACCAAAATTTGTAACTTTTTCTTTATATTTTAAATGACAACCACCGTTAGAAAAAAAAATACTTCTATTGTATTGTTATTTTGAGACACAAGTTTAAATTAAAAAAAAAAACAACAATTACTTTTCAGCACGTTTTTATATCTAGTTTTTTTAACTGTAGATATTTAAATAAATATTTTCAAATTATCTATAATCTATACTATATTATAAAGTATTTGATAAAAACTCTTAAAAACATTTTTTTATGTATAAAATACTATTTATTGATGCATATTACTTAAAATTCAAGATTACAAATAAATTGTGCATAAGTATAACTTACTAAAGCTCTATGTTTGAATTCATGTAACTAACTGCGGATAAACATAATCAAATAGAGAATAAACATCTGCATTTTAAAATATAAAAAATCTAAAATATAGTTAAGATAATTATTGAGTTCTAACAGAATATTTAATTGTTATTTTTATAAAAAAAATATATTATTAAACCTAAATTAAGTTACTTCGTTACGTTAAATTGAATTATAATAAAAAATTTGAATTAAAAAAAATACACAAACAAGAACCTTTAAATAGTTAATTTGATACTAATATTCATATATTTTTTTTTGTAAATTTTATATGATATTTTCAAATTTATATTTTATTCAAAAATAAAAACATTATCGTTTTCACAAAACACATAAAATCGCATTATTCGACATAGATAAAAAAATAAAACGAAACACGTGTCTCGATGCATTGCACGAGTATCCTTCTAGTATATTATAAAGCATTTGACAGAAATTCTTAAAAACCATTTTTTATGCACGAAGTACTGTTTATTGATGCATATTATTTAAAATTCAAGATTACAAGTAAATTATGCGTAAGTACAACTTATTAAAGCTTCATGTTTGAATTCGTGTAACTAATTGTAGATAATCATAATCTTAAAGGATAAACATCCCATTTTAATTATAAAATATCTAAAATATAATTATGATAATTATTGAGTTCTAACAAAATAATTAATTATTATCTTAAAAAATTCTTTTATTAAATAAAAAATAAATTAATTAATTTTAAACTTCAATTAAATTATAATAAAAAATTAAATTAAAAAAATTACACAAAAACAAAAACTTTTAGATAGTTAATTTGATATCAATATCGCTTATTTTTTTTCAAAATTTTATAATATCTTCAAATTTATATTTCATTCAAAAATAAAAACATTTTTTTTTCTCAAAACCATATAAAATCATATTATAACATCGATAAATTCAAAATATAAATTGAAACATTAGAATGTTTTGCTGTACCTTCTAGTTAATATTAAATATGTTTTAAAAAAAATATATTGATAAAATAATAATGGAAAGAAATAAAAAAATAGAGGAGGAATATTTGTTTGGATAGAAAACTTGTTGATGGTTTGTGATTTGGCCCATCTGGTTGACGTCCAACCCGACCTACACGCTTGACTCTACGAACACCATTAATGATGAGCTTGTAGAACTCTAGGAAAAGTAAGAGAATCGAAATGGTGTGAAAGTGAAGCCAATGGGTGTAACTTCGTGGTGATTGTTTGTGATCTTGTCGGTACCTTTTGATCTGTATTCCCACTATGTTTAAAGCAATCTTTTTCACAAACGATAAATTATAGGAATTCCAACAGTACCCTAATCGCATTATTTGTTCTTCCATTCTCTTCGATTTAAACAACTAGTTTTGAATTTATAGTTTCTAGGGTTCCTGAATGCTTAACGAAAACAGGACTAATTTTTAAGATCGATGGGGAGTGAGGTGGAAGTGATTGAGGATAGGGTTGAAGAGTTTAACGATGTCGAAAACACCATATTTGTGGCAGTGGGGAAGAATGTTAAGGAGAGCAAGTCGCTCATATCCTGTGCTTTACAGTGCTTTGCTAGAATGAAGATTTGTCTCCTTCATATTCATCAACCTGGTCAATTAGTCACACTCTGTAAGTTAGTCACTTCACATACTGTTGCTGTTGCTTCATGATTTGAGTTTGACGGTTAATTTTGATGTATGCATATAATACAGTCTGCTTCTTGAAAATTATTGGTTTGTATTTGGGAATTAGCCTACGTAGGCTATGATGGGTGTGTACCATCTTAAATGGTTTTCCATTTTTTGTAATTACAATTTAAGTCGAGATATTTGTGGAAACCTTTTCTGGTTGTGATCAAGAGGATATTCTATTGGATTCTGCCTATTTTAGGGTTAATAATACGATTTAGGAGTTTAGAATGTTTGTGCAAGACTGATTAGAGAATTGAAACTGTGAACACATTATATAATTATGATAAAAATTGCAAAGATTCTAATGTACCGTAACTGGAGAATAACTTCTTAATCAGTATGATGTTAGTATGTTAGAAAGGAATGAAGAGAAAGGGTGAAGAACAAGATTTCATCTATTCCACTTGGGTTACACATTTCTACTTTAATCCTATTCCTAACACGAAGTCCTGATTGTTTCCGATGTTGATTTTTGTTTTATGTTTCCAGTGGATGACAAGTTCTCTGCCAGCAGAGTGAAAGATCAGGTGGTCAAGGCGTGCCGGGAACGTGACCGGCAAAAGATGCACAAAATTCTAAATGAGTACAATCTTATTCTTGATCAAGCTGGGGTATTGTTTGTTGCTCATTCTCCCATTATTGATTTCATTATCTTAGCATACTGGATCATTTGAACATTTGAGATTGACAAAACATCTACTTGAAACTTTTGGTAATTTGTAGTTTTATATTGCTGATTTTGAAGGTGAAGGCAGGTAAGGTGTGGATAGAAGCCGGTAAGGTTGAAACAGGTATTGTGCAAACCATTGTACAGCATGGCATTCGATGGCTTGTCATGGGAGCTGCAGCTGAGAAGCTATATTCAAAGTACGAAATATACACTTGATATTTTTTCAACTGACATTTCTCTCATACATCTTTTTAGAATAGGCAAAACATAAAGAAGCATTTGAACCCTATGATGGTATTACCACCTAGAAGATGGGCCAATACCACCGAACTTAATGCTTGGTAGGCAAAAAAGAAAAACATAAATCAAGATAAAATGGTACCAGAGTATAACCTTTTGTCTATTAAGAATATACTTCAAAGTGATAACACGGTCTCAATATGTCCTTGATTCATATTAATGGTTAAACTGCATAATGAATTATTGGTGATAGATAACCTGGTGAGAACCATAAGAACATCCCTTGTTGCCCAAGTCCCAACACAAACCAAAGATTACCTCGTCACCTAGCACAAAAGAATTATCCATGATAGAGTTTTGAAGTTTTTCTACCCTTTTTAAGTTACATAAGTAAATACACACTTACATATACACACATTGTTTATGGAAAAGGTCTTTCATGGAATCTTTTTATTGCATGAGAATTCACAAATCAATTATCCTATATTATATATGTGTGTGTGTTTCTATATATATATATATATATATATATATATATACGTGACTACAAAGACCCGTGTTACGACATCGGTGGCGGAGACAGAATGCTTCTCAGTGAAGATAGCGCTACACCAGGGATAAACACTAAGAGCATCAACAACCCACTCCCCACGTCTATATTTTAGTTATTGCACGAAGTCAAAATCAAAACACCACCACTCCAGTCACTCCCTACCCTAATTTACATGATCTCATGGTGATTTTGGATGATATCTCCCACAGGATCTAGGGGAGTGTTCCTTGGTTTATGTTATTTGCTGACAACATTGCTCATACAGTGGAGATGAAGGGAGAGGTGAACTTTAGTTTGGAGTAGTGGAGGGCAACATTGGAAGTAAAGGTTCACACGTTAGCCAATCAAAGACCGAATACCATTGGTGCAATTTTGACAGGATGCACAACGAAGAGTGGGTTAAAAGTCAAGATTGGGGATATATGATTCAGAAAGTAAGAGAGGTTGAGAAAGACGTTACACATCATATACCTGCAGGATGTTAAAGTGGAGGACGACCATTGGGGTGTTGTGTGACAAGAAGGATCTGTTACAATTGAAAGGCAAATTCTACAGGATGGCCATCAGACCATCAATGTTGTGTGTGGGTCAGAGTATTTGAGGATAAAGAAATCACAGAAGAGGAAAATGGAAGTTGCAGAAATGAGGATGATGAGGTGGACTTGCAGCTGGATCATGTAAGATACCGACCGAGCAGAGCTAGAAATTGTGCGTAACTTGGATATGTTGACAGGGAGATTGCAGTGGTTTGAACACATTCAACGGAGTTTGTAGACCACACCAGTGAGGGTGGAGAGCATCGCGATCAGAGAGCGTGAGGAGGAGAGGCAAGTCAAGGAGGACATGGAATGAGCAAGTGAAGTTGGACATGGAGGCGTTAGTACCTTCCGATAATATGACCTCTGATAGAAGTTCATGCAGGTGGCGGATTAGGGTAGTTGATAACTTGTCTGACTATCTTAGGTCTTGCTGTCGGGGGGGGGGGGAAGGGGAATAGGAGATAGGGGGAGCGTAGGGAGTTGACAGATAGGTTTGCAGTGTTGTTGGATAGATAAAAGGGGGAAATCGTTGGAGTGTCCCTTGTGCTTTTTAGTTAGGTGTTGCTAGCTTAGCTGCGTCTACAGTCCTTGTTCAATTTGTCTTCTTGCTTTCTCTTTCGTTTTTTCTTCTCGCCTTCAAAGTTTCTTTTGGATCGTTTCAAGCTCTTTGCAATCTTTTTCTAAGTCTGTTTTTTTTATTGTTGCAAAACTATGGCTTCTAAAAAGATTCTGCAACCTGGCGGTCATCTTGGAAACAAGCTATCTACCTCTTGAGGTAGAGGAATGGCCTGCATACATCTTACTCCCCAAACCCCATACTTTCGGGAGTGATATACTGAGTTTGTTTGGTTTTTTGATTTATATTTTTCTGACATGCAAAGCATATATTTAAATCAGCTTACATTTCTTTTCTCATTTTTTTTTGCATTAATGAACCCAACTCATCAAGATTGCAGGTATATGTCAGATCCCCAGTCTGATAAAGCAATATATGTTTGCCAACAAGCTCCAATCTCATGTCAAATCTGGTTTGTTTGCAACGGCCACCTCATCTATACAAGGTATCCTTGATGTCAACATATTGTAACTCTCATGCTTCAAAAGATGTTCTTTTTGCTTTGCAATGCAACAAGTCATAGGCCTTACCGATGAGATCTTAAACAAAGATTGATCATTGAAATAAAATAATAACAACTGCTTACTCTCCAATCAACTAAACGAGGAATGATTACCATCGCAACCACAAATAGAAAAATGTTGACCAATTAATGCATAATACCATTTTGACGTTGACTCCAATTAACCATCATAGAGCCATGTGTTCTTGTAGAGAAAGTTCTGGTGGTGCTAGACTTCATACAAGGAGCATTAAGGCATTGCCATCTTCAGAAACAGCATTGACACTTTATCATGAAGCAGATGCTAGCATGGAAGTGAGCTCCTTGCAGTGTTTAGAGAAGGCCACATCCGCAAAAAATGGCACCTCAGATTCGTTGCTGGTTCTTGCAATAGATGCTGATGAGGAAGTCAATTCCGCCCGGTGTCTAGAGAATTCAATGGTATCAACAAAAAATGTGTATGGCACCTCAACTTCAACCAGTTTGCTGATTAATTATGCAAGAGGAAATGGATCAACTTTACCCGCATCTTATGAATCTCAAGACCAACTCGTTCAATCATGTTCTGCTATGTTTCTGGTATAGCACACATTTGGTTTATTTGTTGTTTTAGCAACCTATATATCTTTTAATTTATTTGTATTTATGGCTATTAACTATTTTTTTCCAGGAAGGACCTCAAGGCCTCTCGTCCTCTGATTTGCTTGATAAACTAGAGTATGCTACCACCGAAGCTGAAAATTCAAAGCAGAAAGCGTTTGAAGAGTCAATAAGACGGTGGAAGGCTGAAGAAGATGCCAAAGAGGCTATACATAAGGTGAAGCTGGTTTTATCAACTGTTTCTCATTTTGTCCCCTTTGCTTCTGATTGTAAATATCGCTTACTTTTGTTTTTCTATTACTGCTGCTGCTGGTTATTGCTATTTGTCCTTGTGCTGAAAATATAAACTGATTATGTTTGATGGTTTTTAAACTCCTGGGCAATTAACTTTCTTTTTGAAGTATATAATATTTATAGACGGAAAATCAAACTCACACATTCTCCTCGCAAGACTCTGCTTGGTAAACGGGTCGTTTATTCAGGCGGGTCTGGTGAGGCTTGAACCCTTAACCTCTAGGAAGGTTGGGTTACTGGATACCGCTAGGCCAATTACCCTTTAATGGTTATTATAGGGTCGAAAACCTGTTGGTTATTATATTTTATTCCTAAATTTTGCAATTGCCTCTAAGAAGAAAGGGGTCGAGTTTTAATGCGGATCGCCATGTTTTCTTGGCTTATTTTCCATGATTCTGATCTTGTTATATAAAAAGTAGTTAGAGAATGAATTATTTACACCTTGTTAATTATGTAGTTCTCTGTAATTTTGTTATAGGCTGAAGCATCAGAAAAACTGTGTATGGAGGAAATTACACAGATAAAAGAAATGGAGGCTACACTTGTGAAACAAAATCGGGAACTAGAAACAATGAAGAATCAGCAAGATGAATTCAAAAAAGAGCTTCAGATGGTCAGAGACCAGAAACCAGGGCTTGTAGATCGAATTTCAAAGGCTCGTGATGCAGAAAAAGAGTTGGAGGAGAAGATTATTCAAGCTGTGAATCTCTTGATCACTTTCAAAGAAAGACGAGATAACTTGCAAGATGAGCTTGATAATGCAAGGAGACAGATTAATGGACTTGCGAATTATGATGAGACAACAAACGTGTCGCAAATACAATTCTATAAGCCTTCTTTTTTGGAAATCATGGAGGCTACTCAGGATCTCAATCAATCATTAAAGATTGGAGAAGGGAGGTGTGGTAGTGTTTATAAAGGGATCCTTCGCCATGTAAGGGTGGCTATAAAGATGCTACCTTCCCTTGGTTCTCAGGGGGAGGCAGAATTCGAACGTGAGGTAAGCCCTTACCAAATATCTCTAGATGATTGCCAAATTTCTTATGTAAAATGATCTATAAGTCTCTGGACCTTAGCATCACCTGTTACTTGTACATTTTTGTCGTATTAGTTCTGTTGACTTGACATGTTCTTTAAAATGGTAAACGAACTATTGAACTGAAGAGACTTGAACTCAACACGTTTGGGTTGTAGAGATCTAGATTCGGCCATCATTTTGGCATTAGTGCACCGGATCCCATCAGAACTCCATGCTTAGAGCGTAGGACTAGAATAAGGGTCCTTAGCATTTGCCGTTTGGTAAACGGCTCCTTATCGTAGTTAACAAGGGCCTAATGGTATGTGGGGTGCTAGTTAAGATCATGTTTAACATGATAAGAAGTATGTTATGGATGTTTCAGATCTTCAATGGCCATAATTGGCATGAACCTTTTCTGTCGCATTTGTTGTAATCGTGGTTGCTGGCTGTTATTTAATTTCTTGTGTGTGAAGTTGGTTTCCTTGTGTTTTTGGCATATTCATATCTTGTTCTTATCTCCGGGGTTTCTGTTGGGCATGCCGGATTTTCTAGTGTAGAGGCATTTGGTAATGTTTTCCGAATATATTCCCCTTGAATCTTGTATATATATGAACTCCACTTTTGTTTCTCAATTTGGGTTATCATTGTTTAATTTACTGCAGGCAGAGGTTCTGAGTAGAATGAGGCATCCAAACCTTGTCATGCTGATTGGGGTTTGTACAGAAACTAGGTCTCTGATTTATGAGTATCTTGAAAATGGCAGCCTTGAAGATCGAATTGCTTCTCGGAGTACAACTCCACCGCTTCCATGGCAAACTCGAATAAGAATCTCTTCAGAGATATGTTCTGCCCTTATCTTCCTCCATGGCAGTAAACCTCATATCCTCCATGGGAACTTGATGCTAACTAATGTTCTCCTTGATTCAAACTACGTAAGCAAATTGAGCGATTTGGGAATTAACCGCTTGATTTTCTGTAAAGATCAAACTTCTTCCACTTCATTCTACCACAACGTTGAACCTGAGGTTTCTGCTTATATGGATCCTGAACTTTTGAAATCTGGAAAGCTTGCTGCTTCTTCAGACATCTACTCATTTGGAGTTGTGTTGCTGAGAATATTAACAGGAAGGCCAGCCTCAAGTGTCGTAAATGATACCAGATGTGCATTAGAAAACGGGAATTTTGGTACAATTTTGGATTCCTCGGCTGGGAATTGGCCAATTGAGGATGCAACGCAGTTGGCTTATTTGGGTTTAAGATGCTGTGAAAATGACCCTATGAATCGGCCAGATCTTGTGAATGATATATGGACGGTGTTTGAACCAATGAGAGATCTGTTTACAACATCACCCGTTGTTGCGTCTGAGAAACAGCGTCGAGTTCCCTCCTATTTCGTCTGCCCCATTTTTCAGGTACTACTCTCGTTACTTACCCTTCTTTTTGCAAGCCAGGGATCTTCTCAGAAACAGTCTCTCTGTCCCATGGGACAGAGGTAAGATTTGCATACTTCTTTACCCCTCAAACCCTACCTTGGGGCGGGATATATTGGATTTATTTGTTTTGGTTTTATACTCGTTACTTACCCATGAGCATGTCGTATTTCTAAACGTTAGAACACAAAAATATTTCTGGTGTTATCTTTGGTGTTGTTAGTTTAGTTTAGTTTAGTTTAGTGTGTGTGTGTGTGTGATTTGCAGGAAGTGATGGAAGATCCTTACATAGCAGCAGATGGTTTTACATATGAAGCAGATGCCATAAAAGGTTGGTTGAACAGTGGCCACAAGACTTCACCCATGACTAACCTTAAGCTTGACCATTGTGACTTACTCCCCAATCATGCCCTTTCCTATGCAATTCAGGAATGGCAACAACAACATTCCTAAAATACCCTTTGTCGTGTTTTGACTTTTGTCAACTTAGCTTTTTAGGGTCATACAGATGTATATCAACATTAATTCAATGTATAAATGCCACTATTCAAATATTATGTTTATAAAGTATTGTGAATTCAAGTTCCTGATGCATTTTGAATCCACTTTATGCATGTATGGATACCAGTTTCACAAAGACATGCTTTTATTTTAAACGTGAGTATCTGGACCAGCTTATTTGCACCTCAGCTAACAAGGACGGACCCAATAATTTTTGGATACGGTGACACCATATAAAACAGTTGCACCTTTCACGAACCTAATCTTTTTTACCTTATCACGGAGAAACAATACAGTGGTGCGTGTCACCTAACCACCCCTCTAGGTTTGTCTATGTGAGCTAAACCATAAGATAGTATCTAGATATCTCAGGGTTTGTATGATTTTTTGTACTGTACAAAATATACAACTGTTGCAGCCTTGCGTAGACACAAAATCTGGCCTTCTGACCAATAAATTAGTTCTTAAGATACGTGTCATAAGAATTTAAAATTGGGAGAGCTTTACAAAAAGAATTCTTACATGATTTTATAAAATATGAGTATAATAATAAAATGAATTCAAACTTTTTTGTATAAATTTAAAATTCATTTAATAATTGGAATATATTGTTTTTAAATAGTTTTCAAGTAATAAAAATTCCTTTGTGTTCATGGAGGTTGAAATGCGGTGACTCTGGGTTACCCGCAAAGCAGGTGGTCGTTCTTGAATTAATCAGCTCGCATAGCGGATTGGATATCCAGGTTAATAATAAAAAATAGTTTTCAAGTAAAAGTTTGATTTCGAAGAAATCAGATTTTATGAAAGAAAATTTTCAAGATTTGATGCGTCAAAAATGGTCTAACCTTTTTAGAGTAAGTTTTCCGAAATATATATATTGTTTTAGGCGTTCGTAAATGTTTTGTTTTGGACGTCTGCACTCAACTTAAATATGAATCATGAACTGTTCAACGGACAAATTTAAAAAAAAAATATAAAATCTGGATGTGCCGGATGTTCACGTTATCACGCATTGGGACGTCTACATGCCTTCCAAGCAATTTTATTCTTGATTATAAATAGAGAAATTTGTCAAACAATTGAAGAAGAACTTTTGCGAATTTGTTAAATAATCTGTTCTATTTAACAAATTTGACTGATATTCATCAATATATCATCGTATTTTAATACGCTCATCCAATTTAATAATTCAAATAACTTGTGTTCTTCCATTGATAATCATATTTTTGTAAGTTGTCTATATTTGAGTGCATGTAAGAGCTATTCAAGATCTTACTTAAGTGAAGATTGTGTACTCATATATACAAATGTTTTATTCACCACGAAGAACATATTCAAATCAAATGGCTCTTGGCCTAGCGGTATGTGAGTCTTTGGCTTCATAGAAGGTCAGAGGTTCAAACCTCACCAAATGTGAGAAGGATGTGTAAGTTTATTTGTTCTATTTGTCGTATGTAAATATTATATATTTCAATGTTTCGGAAAAGATGTAGTAGCCAAGTTAATGAATCACTCTTTATATCGATGTATTTGTCCTCTCTTCCCTTAATCTCTTTATTTAGCATGTGCATTTATGTGTTAAAAACACGTATATATAGTACCTTATCTTAACTTTCTATCACTACTAAGAATAAAATGTTTGTGTATATAAATATATGGACAGGTTCAGTATAGAACCACATTCTATTGTGAACCACGTAAATACTGAGAGTGTGCCACCTTTTAGGGATCTTCATCATGAATAAAGTAAAACATTCACGTCCATTATTCATAATGAATATGGACACACACGCTTTCAGTGGTTGCCAGGTTCGCAATGAAAATGCGATTCTAAGCTGAATTTTCCTCTTTCTCAGTCGTAGGAAATACTTTGTTAGCAGTATTATTTTAAATCTCCCCTCTCTCTCTCTCTTTCTCTCTCTATATATATATATATATAAATAAATAAAGGATATGTATTGTCTTATAAATAGTTTTACCAAACATAACATAAAGACATTGGGAAGAACTGGTAATATGACATCATGCATATTTTGAGCGAAATAACTACATGATCATCGTATAACACTGAAACTTCAAACTAATAGAGAGCCAAATCGAATCTCTACTTTTGGTCATGTCATGTTTTACCTCAATCCAATAATCAATCGTAAGTATGTAAATGTTTAAATGGATTTATAGCAACATATCCTACACTGATATTTTTAAAGCAGGTGATCAAAAAGGGTATATACCTTCACGTGGAGTGGTCCCAAAAGTAGGTGGACTGTGCCCAGATTTGAAACCCAAATCTTATGGATTCTCACATCCATACTGCTAAGACAATCATGCACAGACAATTTATACGATGATATTTGATATATATATGGCTTTTGTAGTAAGAAGCATCATTTTTCAGATTGTAACTGTCTGCATGTTCTAAATCTCAGAACTCTTTATATCATGCCAAAACCAGATGTTACTTCATAAAGATATTTGATTTGATTATATAAGCGAAACGAACTATTCCCTCCATAAAACTCAGATCCAAATCGATCTTCTTGATGACATTGCATTTGATCCATTCCTTTTTTATAGATCATTATTTAATACTTTTCTTTATATTTATTTTTTATTCTCAAATTATATATTCCAAAACACATTAAACGAACCCACTCTCCATGTCTGTCCAACATCCCGGAACACTTTAAACGAACCCACCAACACACCCTCTTCTCCAGTCACACCACACATACATTATACATATAACATACGTTACACAAAACACACTCTCCATGTCTGTCCAACATCCCGACCCTTTCACATGCATCCCGTGTGCTGTATGAACAACATGCATATACATTTTCTTTACGTAATGGGTTTCTATGTTATTTCTAACCTATCTACACGAAGACGTTAATAATATATATATATATATATATATATATATATATATATGGTTGGGTTTCAGTGAGAAGGACAAATAAGATGAAAAACATAAGAAAAGATCTTTACCCTTGGATGTATATTATGATCAGATGCACCAAATCAATCTCTGTATCAATTTATCAAACACGATTCATGGATGAGTTTAAGATTAAAAACGACCAACGCTTCAAATCTCTTCTTACGCATCTCACCTTAACTTTTCTACTCACACAACGCTTCGCTTGTATAAATAAAATTTATTTAACAAAAAAAAAACATTTTCTTATTAATTTCCCAACCTACCCCCATATATGAGACCACCATCGTCCCTTTCCGCTTGAATTATTATTATTATTATTATTATTATTATTATTATTATTATTATTATTTAATTTTGGTTTTTCTTTTTTACTGAAAGGGTTCCCGTTTGGGCATTTTATGTGTAAAATGAATTTCCATTGGCTCTCTTCTCTCTTTTAATTCACTCTCTCGTTTCTCTGTCTCAAGATTTCGCCGACTGCTTCTCTCATTCCTCGCCAGCTTCGCACACCTAAATTTCACCGGTTTTCGCAATCATATCGCCGCCTTTCCGGTGATCTCATCCACTATCTCCGATCTTCGGCGATCTCTCAGCTCCTCCTCCGCCACCACACTGGTACGTCAAACTCTTTCACTCCGTTCCTGCTAATCACATGATTAATAACCCTAACACATATCGTAATTTGATTTGGATACTTCTGGTTTGATCTTCTCAGAGAGACTGTTGACAATTTCGTTTATTTGTTTTCTATGATCTGATTAACACGCTAGCATTTCGGATTATTTGGTTTCTTCTGTTTGTGTATCCACGTTATGATGATTCTCTGTTATTGCTGTATGCCGTGTTTTTAGTTTTATAGAAAATTTCGACAATGACGCAAGTATAAATAGAATGTATTGATGAATTTTGTCGAAATATGTACTTGTTGGATGGCTGCGTCACTTGTTACTCTCTACCAAGCTTTATTTATGATTACTTCCGTTTATTTTCTCTGTGTACTATACAGAATTACGTAGAAATGTGGATCTCGTATTTGCTAGGTTAGTAATTGGGAGTTCGGTTCAGCATTGTATCTAGGGTTCCTTTTTATTGACATTGGTATTGAAGGTGCAAGTAGTTCATTTTTTGTGCTTTATAGGATGTGCTTGTAGCTTAACCTAAAATGCTGATTGAAAAATTGGCATAGAAATGGTCATATCATTATTGTCTTAATGTAGATGGTAACTTTTTGGGAACACAAGTATGAGCACTCTTGGCCGTCTTATTTTGGTTTCATAAAACACATGTGGTGCATTTATCCCAGTCTGTTGGTTGTCAAAAGAAGTTGTCTAGGGATGCCCCCCTATTCTTCTTGGGACACCTTTCTCACCCAATTTGATTTATCCTGTAAACTCAGTTTGTTTGTTTTTCTGTACCTTTTTGGGCATGGTCTGGAACTCGGAAGTGCTCAGATTTATTTTGGAACATGTTTCTCACGCCATAAAAAAATATTGGATGGTATTTTTTTTCTATATATTTGTATCTATATGCATATAGTTCAGCATCCAAGGACACATGTAAACATAAAATTTGATATTTATTGATGTTCTCATGCATTAATGGTAAGAGATAATTGATGACATAAGTGTCCTATAGCATTTTTCTGTTTTTTAGAGAACAACCTTTGTGGATATTATCTTGTGTACTGATTTAATATTTATACCCCTTTAAATTATAAAGCCATGTATGAGGTTTGACAGAAACAAGTTATATGACTAGGATAGATTGAAGCAATATGAAATATTGGTAAAACCAATGGACTTGTCCCCTTTAGTCCTCCTTCCAACTTAGGATTGAAGAGGCAGCAGCACATTTCTTTGATTTGCCTTTGCTGGTACCAATTGGCGCGGTGGAAGAGGAGTAATATTCTTTGAGGAGAAGCCTGATCGGCTTGTATTAGTTCTTCCAAGTTCCAGCCCACTGTAATCATCATTGTGAAAGATGGTGCCCCCAATGCACAACTTTGATGTGTTTCCTTCTTGAGGAGCCTTTATGAGGTGCTTGCTTTAGCAATTGAAGCGCCAAGGTGTAAAGTGCACCATGAGGCGCGTGATTCATGAAGTGGGTTGCATTCCTGTTTATCGACCACATTAATTTAGCAAACATAATTTGAAGACTAATCAAAATATAAAAACTCACATTGGGATAAGCAGCCTCGAACTGATGACTTCCACCACGTCAAGGTGACACTCTACGGCAGAGTTATATCCCTTCTCTGCCCCCATTGAGGAATGGAACTGACTAATACAATTAAGCATTTTTTCCTGCTAATTTACCACACAAAGAGATGCAATTTTCAACAATCACATAGGCCTGCTCTCTGTTTTGTCTTTCCTTTCTTGCTTTTTCATCCGCTCACCTATCTCTCTGCAATTTGATTATTTTGTGTATAGACTCGAAATTAATTTTTCTCTGGGGCCTATCTTGCCAATGACTTATGCCTACACGTTGATGTTAATTGAATGTTCATGGTTTAGTTGTTAACGTTAACTGAACGCCATTGTTTAATTGATGTTGTATTAATTGATTATTTTGATTATTTATGTATGCTGTTAGTGTTAATGCGTATATGTCGATGCCAACTCATGTTAATGATACATAAATAAATTCTATATCTTAAGCAGGCATGCTTCTTCACCCCATTTGATGATTCTTTTGCGTGTGTATACAGACTTTCTTTTTGAATATGTGGTAAGATGTGAACCTTGGTACCTTACTCTGATGAGGCTTGTGCCTTGTCTTGCACTTCATGCCTAGGACAGGCGAGAACCTTATCCTTTTGTGTCTCACATGCCTTAAGTAACACTTACACTAGCTAAACAGAAACTAAATTGAGTTGCCAACTAGATGAAATCCTATTTTAAGTGCCAGAAAAAAGTCCGACTGTTGCCTTAATAGTATTAACAATAAACTTGTTTTCATGAACTGCAAAAATGCTTGTTTTTGATGTTCCATCAGTCACTTTATTATTCACTGTTCAGTGGAATCATGACTCTTGTTAAATTGAGTTCGTCTGTTCTTGTAATTCTTCAAGCGGTGTCAAATTCAAATTAATTATTATACTTGTAAACATAGATGCCAGTTGCAAAACTTTTGGGCACCAGTTCCGCAGATGCTATGAAAGCAGAGGAAGGGAGTGACTCGTTAGATACCTTCATCAGACAAGCGGTTGGAAAAGAGCCTTTATTTTCATTCTCAAGGACCGGGGACAGCCCTATGCAGTGGATACAATTACTTCATGCTTTGGATCAACAAGGTATTCACAAATCTTCTTATCATCCAATGCTAGCTGTTAAATAGTTGTTTATCAAGGGTCTTAATTCATGAGGGTTTGAACCTGATAAAGCTAAGGAGTAAGGAGCTAAGTTTTGGAAAATATTCTGATGCTCTAAGGTTACTTCATAGAAGCAAACAAATTAAAGGGAATGGCTCAGTTGAAGGTTAAATTGGAAGTGTCTCCTTATTGTGCAGATTTCTGTAGTTTGTAATGTTTAAAAAGTTGTACGGTTGCCGTTCACAATTATAACTTTTGTGTTGTCCCGATTTGTGCAGACCTTCCTGGTTGGCCCTTGCTGACCCCAATGAAAGTTCAGATGCAGAAGTGTGACAAATGTGCCCGTGAGTTCTGTTCACCCATCAACTATCGAAGACATATACGAGTTCATCGCCGGTCTTTAAACTTCCATAAGGTTTTTTTTATAACTTAAATTAAAAGTTCACGTTTTTAACACATCTGCAGTATATATAGACACATACGTTTATCCATGCACGCGCACACACACTTGTGTATGTATATATATACCCACCCACACATATTTATACTATGTGTACACATATGTGTGTGTATCACCTGATGATTGTCATAGGTTATTTAAATGTCAATAACATGTTCATCTGAATAACTGATTGCTACTGTCTTCCTCTATATGCATAAATATTTGTTTATCGATATTCTTGTTTCTGCATCCAATTTTTAGGAGTCGCAGAAGTATAGGGATTTACTGGGAGCATTTTGGGACAAGGTAAGACTTGAATTGTCATATTGAGGAAGGTCTTTAACCAGTTCATTACTTCATTTGTGCTCATTATTTTGTGCTGTGCAGCTATCTTATGAGGACGCTAAGGACATTATGTCTTTCAAGGATGTTAATCTGGAGGTACTGATCTGGTCCTCTCTCCTTTTTATCTAAATTGTTCTGGCTGGTTTGATGATATGGACTTGTTGCTAGTTCTAATGTTAATCGCGATTAGTTAATTGTATCTGGTTTTCTGCTTGCATGTCTTATCATGTTGGCATAGCAGACGCATTGTCTTCATATCCATGTTTTGTACAAGTAGATTTGCAGATTGGGTGTGAAGTTTTTCTTTCTTCGTTTTCTTTATTATTTTTTTGTGTTGCAAGAATATGGTGCAGGGATATAGTGAGCCATAGATGGATATAGATATTCTAAAAAATTGAGGCTATATGGTTTATTTATATATGTGTTATTACTAGTTTGAAGCCAAACCAATAAAATACGAGTTATCTTGTTATTCATACATGAACTATATATAAAAAAAACATATGCTTGCTTTACTTAGTATAACCATATTAGTCCTACATGTGAGGAAAAAATGTTTTGACTTCTCCTTTCTCTCACGACCCTATTAAGCTTACTTGATCTTTGTAGCTTTGGTTTCTGATTTTAGTAGTGAATTTTAACGTCTCCTTTTTCAATAAAATCTGACCAAATTTCTCCCCATGCCCAAGTCCTTATCCTCTTACAAATTTGTGGTTATGGTGAACCTGCCACAAGGGGTGTTTTTTTGTACTCTGCTGTACCTCTTAAGCCAATAGGAGGGTTTTGCAAAGGAATAGCTTAATTTCTTCTTTAATGCTTTAATAGGACATTTTCCATTTATCAGTTGTTTGTAACTGTCTCTCCCTTTTAGGAAGTTGCAGGCTCTTCCATAGTAAGGAACATAACAGCAAATTTACGTAAACCAATCTTTCTCTCTCTTCCGCAAGTTTATGTGAAGGCTGGCTCTGTGCTTGTGGTAAGCAATTTTTCTCATCCCTCAGGTGTTAATTTTATGCTTTTGCTGACTCAGTTTTGTTGTCATTCGTATGTGTGGGATTGTTACTTGCAGGACATTATCCAAGGTAGACCTTCTAGGCTTCCAATTTCCTCACAGGAATTGTTTAGCATACTGGATGATGCCAGCGAGAGAACATTTCTGAGTGCTGGAACAGCTGAATCATTGCAAAAATTTATTTTTGATGGAGAAGCTGGGAAAATTGGGCTCGAGATTAAAAACTTGATTGCTTGCACCAGCTTTCTTGCTGAACAGAGATTGGTATTTCTTGTATTTCCCTTTATGAGTATACATACAATCATATGGTTTTGATCTCTTAGTTCAATAGGTTACAGAAATAAAAGTACATCCCACAACCTAGACTAATGTGTGAGCTAACAATCGGAGTTCTTAAATAAGTAGTAACACAGGTTTAGAGTTTTCAATCAAGCTTAAAAAAATTCATAAAAAATTTAAATTTTGCATAGGTTCGTCCATCTGCAAATTAAGTTACCTTTGGTATATTGGGAGATATCTGTCATATAAAATACCTGCAAAAAATCTAAAAGCTTGTTTTCTAGCATAAGTCCATCTTTTTAGATGACAATGTTATAGTATTACCTTGCCTTTACAATTTATGTTGGCAATTCAATGTTCTCTTTTTAGAAACCTTTCAATGATGGGATGTTTGAGGGAGCCATACAAATCTGTCTCTATTACTTGACCGAGAACACTAGAGTAGTAGCGTTAGAGATACTATTTTCCCATCCCAAGTTATAACATAATATTACCTATTGTATTTGTGCAGAAAACAATTCAATCAGATAATGATTATGCAAGACGTTTACAGCAGAGACAAGCTAATAAACCCATCAAAATTTTATCAGCGTAGGTCATCATCAAGTTAATACCAAAGAACCATAAAGTAGAAAGAGGAGAATCTAAGAAACAATCTACATATCTAAACCACAGAACTTATGAATTAGATTTCCTATTTCTAAAGACAGGAGTGAAGAATCATACGAAACAATCTACATATCTAAATCCAGAACTTATGAGTTGTCTCAAATCTGGAATTGATGTGGCCAAATATATAATTTTTCTTTGTGGTTAGGTTAAGGCATGGCTTGCAGACAAAGATGCTGAGGCTTTAAGATGCCAGAAGTTGCTTGTTGAGGAGGAGGAAGCTGCTCAGAGGAGGTATATTGTACTTATCGGAATTTAAGTTTGATAGTGTCCTATTGTGATCTCATCAACTTCTACGTAATCCTATATAATTTTCATATGCCCTTGGTCGACACTTAAATAAGTTAAAGTGTCTTAGTGCTGGTGCCAATATAGGCTCAAATTAGATAACAAGGGTGCATTTATTATATGTTCCCCAAGGTGTGCATTGTGTGCAATTTATTTTTAGGAAGAAACCCTCAACTGGTAACATTCAACTACTCCCGCGGATGCTTATAGGAACACCAGTTCAGATACAATTAACACTCCGTGTCCATTACTCCATCATTCCATTTATCTAGCCTTCGTGTCTTGTTTTCTTATATTTCTTTATCTTTTTTATTGGAATGATTCTATGATTCTAAAATGGACTTGTAGCTTGATGGCTCTTCTTTTCCTTTTAGCGCCCCCCCCCCCCCCCACAAGAGGTGTGTGTTCATAATCAACCTCTCTTTTATTGCGCCAGTATTTTATATCAAAATGGACAATATCTGTGGCATGCATCTCTTGTAATGTAGTTTCAAACTACCAGATATGTGTGCATGCAATTGTTCTTTGAATGTTAGTTGGAAGGTTTAGTAACTAGAGCATTGGAACTGCCATTTGATAAGATGATATGATTATGAGTTGTAGTCTGAGTTTTCTGATTGAGGTGTGGACCCTTTGTTAATTTGATGTGTTTTTATACTGTGGACATAGGCAAGCCGAGATTTTAGAAAGGAAAAGACAAAGAAAGCTTCGGCAGAAGGAACAGAGAGCAAGGGATCAATCAAATGAGGTGAAAGGAGATTTATATGCTGCTTCTGATGTATTCGAGACTACTCCATCCACAGAAACTTCCAGCCTTCCAACCTCTTCTGGGGTTGATTTATTAATTCCAGACGAAGATGTCCTCATGCCTCTTGAGACCATTCAGTTCTCAAACAACGAAGAAGATGTCAATATTGAATCTCAAGGTGGATGCAGCAGCGATCATTCAGATTCCACCGCTCAGAATAATACCAAGCATCCGAAGGCGCAAACAAATGATTTACATCATCTCGTTACTCGATGGCAGGTGCCAAAGTTGCAAAAAGGCGGACGAAATGGGTTTCATGGTAACCAGAATGTTAATACATTGAAAAGGGAACAATCACACAAGCACAGGGAACAAAGGGCTCCTCTAGTTAACAGCAGTAAGATTTGGACCAAGAAACCTAAACCTGAAAATGGAGGGGAGCTTGTAAAATCTAGGGTACAAAATGATGCAATTAATCAAAGCAACTGCCAGCTGATGATTGGTTCCATATCTGTGACCGTGAGGAGTCCCAGCCAACATCAGGCCAATAATCAGGCCAACGAGGTTCAAGAAAGTGGAAACATGGAAGTCAAAAAGAGCAGTGTCCAAACTGGCACCAACCGTTCCACCGTCAAAATTTGGAGGCCTCGACATGATTCAAGAGGTCAATTGGCAGATTCAAGAAGCAATAAAGTAATGGAAGAGGATGCAAAAGGTGACATTGAAATTCCAACTGCTACTGAGAGTTGTTGTCAGTCGAATGATGAGACTGACGAGTGTCAGCCATTACCATTTGTTGAAGATGGTGGTAAGCCGGAGGCAATGCTATTTTCTGTTGATGCAGCAAAAGCTTTTCTTGCTCAGAGTATGTCAAATCCTTCATCAATTAACCTTATATTCTTCTTTTTCATAAACCAATTTTCCGTAACATAACATCTGAAAAAAATCTGATAATATCTGCAGGATGGAAGGAGGCAATCTCAGGGGACCATTCAAAGTTGGTTCTAGCAGAACCTCCTGGTGAGGGTGATGGTCATGAATCTCAGGAGCGCGCAGAGAATCGCATCGTTAGCATGGAGAGTTCAAGCCACAACACAAATGTTAGAGGGAAGTTTGCAACAAAGGGTGTGAAGACAAAGTACATTCCAAAACAGAGAGGCGGTGGTAATTAGGAGGTAGGGAGAGGAAGAAATCCAAGGTAAATTTAGGTTGATGATGGTTTATACTGAACGAATGAATGAATGAAGGAACAATGTGCAGGTTCTATTAACACCAGAAAGAAACGTTTATTAAATATTCTTGTTAGCCAGAGAGAGGTGCCAGTTTTACGAGTGGCTCCTTCTGTCTGCTGCCATCTTTTGAGGAGGTTTCATAGTTGTTTTTCTTTTATATGTTGAAGAGAGTGGGGGTTTTGGATTATAGTTTTGGATGGAGCTGATGCTTTTTTTTGCCAACTGTTGAAATAATCGCGATGCAATGAAACCGCTGGGTTTGTTTTTTTTGGTGGATGATACTTGTTTGCTCATTTTGTAGTTACTTGATGAAAGCAGATGGGATGTAATAAACCAAACTCCTTACATATGTTTTGTGTTTGAATCCATCATGTTCTAGTCTTTACAATCAACTTGTTTACCTCCTCCAGAGGTGATTTTATAACACACAAGGGTTGAAATTGTTCAGTGTTGTACCATAAGGCCATTAAATCATCAAGAATGTGAAGTTTTTTGTGTTTGAATGTACACAATGAAAAAGGGCTCTAATTAGTAGTCTGATCGTTGTTTAAATGTGACATCATGATGAGAAAAATGTTGGTATTCTTTCTAAGCAAGAAAAAAGGTGTGCTTTGTGGCCAAAATCAACCTAAGCAGTCGAAAGTAAGGTTGCAGAAGCTTGGGTGTGGGTTGACGTAGGTTGCGTCTAGTGAGTCAGACGACATGAATTATTTAAATAGAAAATGCACATGCAAATTTGTCTGAAAGGATTTGTTAAAGTTCGGGTAATTGGCAAATTTGTCTCATCGTTCAATTCCTTTTTTTTTTCTTCCTATCCATTCAAGTAATTAATGTATCTTCATCACACCTCTTGGCACAACAGATAACAACATTCATCTTACAAAAATAAAATCAAGCTTTTATCTCTTCATGTCACTACAAAAATGAATAGTATCAGCAAAGGAAAATTCCGTCGCCGATCCGTTGTTAACTGTTGCTGATAGTCTGTCGGTCAAAAGCTCATAGGTGATGCTATTATCGACGGATCAGCGAGGGAACTTTTCAGTGACGGATTAGTGAGGGAACAAATTCAGCGACGGATCAGCGGGGAAAGCTTTCAGCGATGGAAAGCTTTCAGCGATGGATTAGTGAGGGAAACTTTCCTTGCTAATCCGTCACTGATGTTTTTATTAATCTAAAAATAAATAATTTATAGTTACATAATTCTTGTATTTATTTATACAAAACCTTACCATAAAATAACAAACCAAAATTGTGAACAAATTAAAACTAATCAATTCATACGATTTAAAATTTCAAATTAATAAAATCTAACTACCGGGAGGTGGAGGTGGGGGAGGGGGGAAAACGTATCCTGACTGCCGCATAAACACAGCAAAATGCTCCAATAAGGCGGCCTGTTCGGCTAATACAGCAACTTGTCTAGCCTGTTCGGCCTCCAAATCTGCCCTCCTCTTTCGTTCGCCTCCATCTCGGCCAGATGGCGTTCCTCCCATAGCCGCGCCTCTTCTTGTACCCTTGCCAACTTCTCTCTCAACTCCGCTACCTGTAAATATTCAATATTCGATAAAATCATTAATTGTTCGCAGTGAAAGTAATGAGAGAATATATAACAATATAACCACCATACCTCTGCCGTTGACTCGTATGATCTCCCGATGTTACTGCTACTGCTACAATTACCCATCATAGCATAAGAGGGATCCTGGGAGATCCCGAAACCAAAGATGAAGCCCTTCCTTCGTCCTCCGACACTCTGCTCCCAAAGAGATGTCTCATCAGGGGGAGGAATCAAAGGGAGGGCTGTCGGTACTAGACTGTGACTCACCCCTAAGCAATTGAAATCGCTCCTACAAAACAAAGACACGTGAGGTTATATATGTAGAAATTTCAACAACACAACGGCTGTAAATCAAACATATCAAATGCATGTTTTTAACAATTAAAACATTCTTATAATACCAATGATAGTCACATTCTCAACCTATCTACTTAGCCTAACATCTGCCCAACAATGGCAGCCCAAACTAATAGCATCACTATGTTTATAAAAATAATTACCTTAAACCTACAAAACGTATCTATTAACCGAAGTAATGGTTTTAAAAAAACTTACATGATACCAAGCAGCTTTGGGGTAACTGAACTGAGGAGGATCGGTAGGCGAGTAGGACAAACCTTGATCGAACTTCCGGTTCGTGCAGTGAGTAGGCTCAAACACCTCAAACTATGTATTCCGATTAGCACTATTGATCTTGGATTTCCTTTTCCAAGGCTCGGTATACCAAGCCTGTTAAAAACAAAGCACACACACACACACACACACACACACATATATATATATATATATATATAGAGGGATGCTATTCTACACCCTTTGCCATTCCTACACCCTATACAACCTTCATCTCAACCATAAATATTCAAATCATAATAAATAAACTCTCATCATTTCTATAATTAATTGGGTTGTAAGGGTTGTACAAATGCACAAGGTTGTAAAAGAAATATACCCTATATATATATATATATAAGGCGGTACAAAACACATGACAGTTCAAAAAGCTCAAAATAGATATACATACTTGGTCAATCATCTAAAGCCAAAACTTCTTTGGGATCCATACAGGACGGTGTAATCTAATCCGTGAGAAGTCCTCACCATCCCATTGCTGAGCACCGGGATAAGCCTGTGCCACGGCTCAATCACGTGCAGCACTCATCCAATCTGAGTACCTATTGTGTATGACTTTGGTCCATAAATTACGAACTATGTCATTCAGCTCTGGTTCCCACTAGAACTTAGCCTACATACACAATATTTTTATCAATGTAAAAATAGGAGAAGGGCTCAGTGCCGATGAAATGTTTTTTGAGACTTACCCCACTCAATGAAAAATTATTTAGGCAAGATCCCGTGTCCAAGAGTCTGATTCTGATTCTGCTTTCACTCTTATCAAGGAAGGAGGCCACCAAACCAAAGGGATTAGTTAGATTCGTAGAACAGAAGAAGAGCCTGCCTGATAAGGCGAAAGAACTACAGACTAAGGGGGGCTAGCTAGGGACGTTCGCAGAGTATGTGCCTTCCGTACCACCGAAAGGTCGTTCTTGGGCGGATCCCGCTCCTAAACATAAGGGATAGGGGTCCTGGGGCCGGGCCTACCATATCTAAAGGGACGTAGAAAAAGAACCCGATCGGATGGAGGCGCCTCTTATCGGTCTGGAATGAGTTGTGAATTCTGGTGATAAGGCTTGTGATGTTCGATCTATGATATTCGGAATAAAGATCCGGATAGAATTGTTGGCTTTCTCAATAGCGTCGGAAAAGCAGCTCCTAATTACTATCTCGGTAGCTTCATCTTCTTCGGGAACTGAGAATGCTTTTGCTGCCGAAGCACTTTTTTTATATGATGCATCGAATGCTTCCTCTGCTTTCGGTAAAAATCCCAAAAGCCTATTCTCGAGGCACTCTTTCTCTTATAGCGCTCTTTCCTTCCCTTCGAGCTAGCCGAATCAGTACATTATAATTACATTATAATGGTACACCAACTCGAAAGCGCTGGAACATCAAGTCGCAGGCTTCCTGAGGGACTTCCTTCCATCTATGCCACAGACCAACAAAGGAAGACTTGAATATAACCGTCATCTCCCGGATAAAATGGGAATCTTTAAACCTGCACAATTAAAAAAAATATACAACACAAAAGACATTCATATCATTTTATTATGTAATATAAAGTCTTATATCACATCTATTTACCCGTTGCCTAACAAAGAAAGATAACGTCGTTGGCTCGGATGACTGGGTGTCTTATATCAATTTATATTTTATTGACTATTGCTATTTGGTTATGTTGTTCTAATTGTGTTTGTTGACTATTGTTATCTATTTTTGTTTCTACATAAAATATTTTACTTTTTTTTTTGACAATTAATCTATTGTTCTTATGATTTATGACGAGTTTCATGGTTTTGTGATTAATCAATAATTTTTTTTTACTAAATGTATTTAGTAATATCTCTTATATATGTCATGTTCCACAACCTTTTAATATTAACATTTTATTTTAGTTGAGCAAAAAAAGAAGGAAAATAGAATTTAAATATTTTCATCAATTGTTTGACTTATGTATTTTTCATTGGGATTCCACCACACTACAAGATTCTATTTCAGTGTTCAAACAATCATTTCTTGAGCTTGCATATTATATGTTTAATTCATTATTTATTTTTATTAGATCTCAATGGATCATCTTTTCTTTCATATTCTTATTGATCTTAATTTGTCTACTTGTTTAGGAAACTTTGATAATCTTCTTTATTATTGATCTCTCATTGATCTCACGATTATTTCATTAACACGAAATCTCTTTTTGTATTAAAATAACACATATTTCTTGTTATGAAGTAAAAAATTCTTACTTTTTATAAAAATTTATCAATCATAGTTTCTATTATTGGTTTAAAATTACCTAATAAGAAGTACGTAAATTTAAGTATTCTCTTATATATCTATAATAAAGATAAATAAGATTTCTTTACTCAGTAAATTATTATCATTTATTGTACTCAAATTTATATTAATGAAAAACATTTATTGAATTTTTTTTTCATACTTATCGATGGTCACTACAAGAAAAGTGAGATTTGACGATGCGTCTTTTAGCGATGACATGTGTCACAAGTTATAGCGACAACATGTTATATGCTTATTCTAATGATAAACGGACTTTTAGCGACAACAAAAGTCGTTACTAAAAGCTTTGTTTCTTACAGTGGGGCCCTTGTTTATATGTTCGCCCAGGACGTAAAAAATGTCAGAAATGGGTCTAAGTATATATATATATATATATATAACACATACAACATCGTGTAAATATATGTATATAACACGAACCGACGAGTATATATACACATACATATGTGTATATATAATACACATCACGATTAACAATCAAAATATATATATACAAATAACACATATACATATGATACATACACATAAAAATATGTATATATAACACATAAAAATGAGAAAATAAAAAAAATCGATACCCCCCTTCTAATACTATTTATCATATCATACTAAATTTAATTTAAAAAAAAAACACAAAGAGCCCGAATTTGGAGCCTATTTTGAAGTCAACCTTGAATTGGCCGATAAAGGTGGTCACGCACGTCACCTCCACCCATATACACGTGTCTTCCTTCCCACCCTCCACCTCCGCCACCTCCTTTCCTTCTTCCTCCTCACAAACCCCATTTTTCACTCTCTTCCTCTCTCTTAAAAACTCACATTTTCTCTCACTTGCTCCATTTTCAACTAAATCCTTTATTTCACAAGCAACAAAAACGACCACCGGAAAAAATGTCAGGTGGCGTTGGCCCCAGTGATAACATAGTCTTGAGACAAGAAACTAAACATAAACAATCAGAACAACCACCCATCAAAAAATCCCCCCTCCGCCGTGGCATCTTATCCTTCCAACAACTCAACGCCCTTGCCCTCGTCGTCGTCCTCTCCGCCTCCGGCATGGTCGCCATGGAAGACCTCATCTTCGTAGTCCTCTCTTTCTTCTACATGTTCTTCTTGTCCAAGGTCGCATTCCCAACCCTCTCTCCATCCCACAACAAACCGGTGTTCGACGACGACAACCACCTCCTCAGCCTCTACTGCTTTCTGGGAGCGGTGGTGGGATTGTTTCTGCCGGTGGCCTACATATTCGAAGGAATTCTGGAAGGTGATAAAGAAGGGATCAAAGCAGCGACGCCACATGTGTTCTTGTTAGGGAGCCAGCTGTTCTTGGAAGGGGTGGCGTTCTCGGATCGGTTCTCGTTGCCGATGAGGGCGTTGGTGCCGGTGGTGTATAATTCGACGAGGATATTCACGGTGATGGAGTGGGTGAAAAGCGAGATATCGAAGGTGGAAGGTAGTGGAAGCTTCCGCGGGAGTCATAGAAGGTTGATAATGGGAAGAGTGCTGGCGATTGCGAACATGGTGTATTGGAGTTTTAATCTGCTGGGATTTTTGTTGCCGGTTTATCTTCCGAGAGCTTTCAAGAGATACTACTCGGACCCAAAAATGTCAAAGATTAATTAAGATTTGATGGTGAATCATATTAATTAAGACTTTCATTTCTATACATATATAATTAATCCCTTTTTGGACGTTTGATAGTTAGGATGTATATTCTCTCTCTCTCTCTCTATATATATATCTATACAGGGATTGGTTCAAATGCTAACCAAGATTATCGTGTTAACTTTGTTAACCGATCTTGACCATTAATTTGAATAATAAACGGTTATGATTTAATGATATTTAAAAATTAATTATTAAATTAATATTTTCAATTAACATGTGGATAAAATATCAAAGGGTATTTAGGTAAAATGTAATCTATCTTTGATATACAAATTGACAGACATATGAACAATTTGTGTATATCCTTAAAATACATCAAACAAAAAAGATTAGATATATGAACAACATGTGAACCGTATGAACATCTTCTGTATATTCATGAGTCAATTATGTTGTATGTACATGAACACCTACGAAGCTTGTGTTCACATGAATCACAGATGTTCATATTCATGTGATGTGATTGTGTATATGTATCGATATGAACATCTATTGCCTTTGATATGTGTTCATTTAAACGAATTCAAATATCATACTAATCACTTACCAATAGGAACGCTTTGATCATTTTCTTTATTATCGGAATTCGAATTGCAAATGTAGTCGTAGACGATTTTGTCATTTCCATTCATGTCAATATGTTTTACATTATGTTTATCCATATTACTCGAATGATATAGAAATCTTTTACACTAACAAAAACAATATGATTATATGGAGAACATCATTTGTAAAATAAGATCATGAACACGTATGGAATCATCTACGGTATCAAACCATGATCATATACTGTTCATATATATGTGTGTGTACAACTCCCTAATGTTTGTACATATATGTAAAATCTCTCATATATATATATATATATATATATATATATATATATATATATAAGAGTCTAATCAAATGAGAACTAATTAGTTTGTAGTAACCGTGAGATCCAATCACAACCACAAATCAATAGATAAATTAAAAAATTTATAATTTTGGTAATTTTGAATTAAAATTTTAATGCAAGGATATTTTTTGTATTTTAAAACTCTTCTCTCTCCGGCCACTGTCCTTCGATGATACCACAATGGTATCACAATGTATCATATATGTGCTTGATTATAACATTGAGGTCGTTTGTATAGTCGATCGGATATGTAACACAGTGGTATCACAATGCATCTTATATATGATTGGGTATCACAAATTCACAATGTATCTTTTGTTTAACAGAGTCAATATTTTTAGGTATTACAGTGGTATCACCGGAGGACGGAAAGAGAAGAGAGGAGAGAAAATACCTAAAATGTCCTTGCATTAAAATTTTAATTCAAATTTACCAAAATTATAAATTTTCTAATTTATCTATTGATTTGTGGTTAAGATTGGATCTCACGATTATCACAAACTATTCAGTTCTTTCTTGAATAGACCCCTATATATATATATATATATATATATATATATAGAGAGAGAGAGAGAGAGAGAGAGGGGTTCAAATATTAACCCATTTTTTTGTGTTAACTCTACTAACCAACATCAACCAATCACATTATTTCTTTACTTTATGTTCAAATGTAACTTATAAATTGAATACAAGGGTCATTTTGTAATTTGACCTTTATGTAACTCCCTAATCTATACTATATTATAATGCATTTGGCTAAAACTCTTAAAAACTCTTAAACTCTTAAAACTCTTAAATCCGTTCATCCCTATCCGATTTCATCCCATAACTGAATTCGTGTAATCGTGTAACTAACTGCAGATAAACACAATCAAATACAGGATAAACATCTTATTTTAAATATAAAAAATCTAAAATATAATTAGGATAATCATTGAGTTATAACAAAATACTTAATTATTATCGTTATAAAATGTTATATTATTAAACCAAAAAATAAATTATTTCATTATTAAACTTAAATTAAATTAAAAATAATAATTTATACTATATTATAAACCATTTGACAAAAACTCTTAAAAACTACTTTTTATACGGAAACTATTGTTTATTAATGCATATTACTTAAAACTCAAGATTACAAGTAGATTGTGC